CGGCATTGCTGTTGCGTGGTCTGCGGCTGCTGATTTGTCAGATCCGAGCGGTTGTTTACTTAGCAGTCAGCGCTCGTTGAATGTTTATCGGTTATGGTCTCGGGCGATGAATAACGAACAAGTCTTCCGGAGACGATTAGTTGCCAAATAAACAGATCCTAAATTCGATAAAATACGCAGTCGACCAGTAACGGAGTTTCATCCTTCTCCAGCTTATATGATGCCGTGTGACCCTCAATTTCAAAAAAGTAAAACTGCAATACTGAGACTAGGCAACAACAGGTCGTTTCGAGTGGGCGGCGTCGGTTGAACTATACAAATGTCGACATTCCGCCGTTCTGTTTGGATTCCTTTTGCCCTAGATATCTACCGGTGGGAGATAATGGAGCTAGATAGTGTGCCGGCAAAAATAATTACTGCAGTGAAGAAAGACCACTTCTGACAGTTAGATAATGGGTCAGGCATTCATGTTTTCGTACATTCGGTTTTTGCACAATGTCATGAACGCAGGCGGTGAAAGGGTGCAGAGACAACTGGGAACCCGGCTCGACGCAGTCCACTAGGACATGCAGGTGGCTGTTGGACCGGCGGTATTTAGTCTTAAACACTGAGGAGGAGAGTGGAGCCAGCTATTGTCGATCATAGTTTGTCAAAATTAACATCCACGACACCATTGATAAGGCTATATTGGGGCACGATCAAGGCCGTAATAAGCACAACATTCTGTTTTGATTTTAAATAGATGGGAAAATACGAAACGACAGAAAACAGCTTTTCGCGTTATCTCCCTTTGGACAAACACACTATGCGTTAATACCAAGTAAAACAGTATGACGCGGTGCAGGTTGGTTCGGAGGTATGGAGTCTGTGACGGTCTACTCGGTAGACGACAGTGGGCAAAATCCTACACTGTGTGACTCAGCCTTAAATTTGCGGACACCGTGGCGCCAACCAATATGTTTGTTTCCAATGCCTGGTAGCAAGTGGACAAAGTTCGGGTGCATGCACGCATGCATGCATCTCGCACGGGAACTAAAAAACACCCATGGCTGGCACTCGAATCGTTGGCGCCATCTAAGCTACGTGTACGATCACTTGCTGTAAACTGCCCTACTAACTCTGTCTTCTTGACTTTTGATATGGAAGACCATGCATCTCGACTATTCCACCAAGACGAGTAGTGACTCTGGCGTGATCCGAAAACGCAACCTTATGAGCATATTTAGACAGGTTCGGTCGTTGCAAGGGGCAAGGGTTCGGAAAAGCGCGTTTTCGCTTCAATCAGCATGTGCGTATGGAGGCGAAGGAAAAGGCCAAGTGAGTTGGAAAGTAAAGCGACTTACAGATCCTCAACATGAACATCTTTCAGGAGATGACAGTAGTCGGCATTCCAGACGGCTTGGTCATCAAGAACTTTGCAGGCGAGAAGGATGCACGAGAGGAGTTGCCTTCGCCAAGACCAGTGAACGATATGCAAATCCAGGCCGCTGATGAGTCTCTCAAGATAGACCTGCACGAAACAAAGTAAAACAGACAAGGCGTAGTTTTTTTGCTAATGTACGGAAAAAAATGAAGGTCTGTCAGGAAGGGTCAAGCAACGATAATACAGATAACACGATAACAGCATGGCACTGTCAAGGGCCGTCCCTCAGTGCTATTTGGCGTAGAGAGAGCTGACAATCGATCTCACTACGGACAACTGCGAATTCGCGTTCAAAGTATTAGGTTAGGCGATTATACCTCACCGATTGTAAATCAGTAATAAATAGCGAAGGGGATTCAAACGGAGTAAGAACTTAATCATGGGTAGGTGAACGGGAGGTTCCTAATCTTCTAGTTCGAGAGTCAGTCTTTGCATGAACACTTCTGACATAATAACTCGATCACCGCGTTTCATTTTCCAGAAGGATTGGATGTGGGCAAGCATAGCTTGTGACGGTAGATGGCCATGGAAAATGCATGAGATGCAACCTAATTAGCCTAGAACGCTCAGATTGACGGGTTTTTACGACCGACCGCATGTGAATTACTAAGGACAATAAGCTAAGGAGCAAACCGGCACATTGGAAGTGGTCAGGCAAGCTTACGTGCATACCAAATACACAGGTAACCGGAGAGTGCGCGAAATAAAGCTAGAGAGGCGAGCTCTCCTGTCGTAAATTCCTCCGCCAGATACTTCGAGGATGCTAAGGATCGTAGAGACTGATAGAATTCACCTAAACCCCCACTTCAACCAGTTGGTTTGACAATCACTGCAAAACACGCACATTAACATCTACGGAAAAATTAAGTAACCGATTTAACCCGATGACTAAAGTGCAAATGATCAGTGCCACAAGTCGGACACCGCGAATTTGATTTATGAGCCTAAGTTGGTGCGTGAAAATTCGTCTGTCAGATTTAGCCTGTAAGTTGTCCAAGAGACATTTTCAGGTGACATTTGGTATTTACTTACATTCAGGACATCGCTTGTGTTAACAGCTACCACACATACGTTACTGCATGAGCGGGTACTTGTATACGCAAGGAAAGTTTACAAAAATCGAATTTTCGAGCAAAATAGATCAGGCGTTAACAGAAGAGCTGTTTTCAAGGGAGTCGAGACCCCGTGTTCTTTAAAAATGCCAAGTTCCAGATCTGCAATTTTTTTACCCTAAAATACAGTAATACCAGCTATTATTCTTTCGTGATAGCGCCAATAAGTTCTAAAAGTAAAAGAACATTCTATAGATTATTGCGAAATGACCGACTATGATCCTGCCATTTCAATTTTTGGGTGCGTGAAATTACAGTTTTGTGCGAGTTATTTCGACCTAATAGGTCAATCAAAAACAGAACATGCACCGCATGAGTCCTTTAAGAAGTATTATAATTGCCTACCGGCGCAATCTGTAGCACGCCTATAAATATAGGGTATAGGATTATGCAACGTCGACAATAATGCGCTAACGTATCGAAATCAAGAAGTCAAGATAGGCGAACGAACGTTTTCGATTAATTCATCATCA